TCTCATATATCTAAGGGACATTTGTCTTTGTACTTGTATTTGGATGTGTGTGTTTGATGGGGGGGGAGAAAGGAGATTCAGTTACCATTTAAAGGCAAATGTACCTGATTCATACTTTCTGAAACTGGGGCATGGCACCCCTTTGAAATTTGTATGCATTTGAATTCTGCAGCGCAGCCCTCCAGCCAGGCAGTGTACACAAAGGAACATGCACTGGGATAACGCATGTGTTAGTGAAAATAACATACAAATATGCATTTGGGGGGGGGGTTGCCTTGCAATAATGTATCTGTTGGGGAAATTGCACATGAATATGTGCACGGTAGGAGAAGAAACTACAAAAAATGTGAGCAAATTTACACCAGATCTTTTTCTTGTAAAAAAATGAATGAATTCCAAACTGATGGAAACAGGTAGGGAGAGACCTGTCCTTAAGATAGGGAAAAGGAGAAATGGGGAAAAAACTGAAATTGACAGATTTGCCTTTCATATACAGATTGGTTTGTTGGTTGGTTTGTTATGTTGATTTGTTGGTTGGTTTGCTTGCTTGCTTATCACAGGCTCTTCCAGAGAGCAGTCATCCTGATTTGCTTGTGTAGTGCTTTAAAAGAGAATTAGACAAATTAATGGAGGATAAGACTGTCAGGGACATTTGTCTTTGTACTTGTATTTGGATGTGTGCGGGAGGCAGTGGAAGACAGGAGTGCCTGGCGTGCTCTGGTCCATGGGGTCACGAAGAGTCAGACACGACTAAATGACTAAACAACAAGAAGAAGACTGTCAGACATTCCCAACCCCAATGAGTATGTTCTACCTCCACTGCTGAAGGTAGGATGCTTCTGAATACTGATGAGGCATCTGGTTGGCCATTATGAGAACAGAAGTCTGGACTAGATGGACCAGAGGGCTGATCCACCGAGCTCTTTTGTGTTCTCAGTTGCTCAAGGTGGCACATACATGGTCCTTCACACACAAACACACACCGTGTTTCCTCCTTGCCACCACCCTGTTTAGGAAAGTGCTAATTCCATAAGTTCACCTTTAAATGAGAACTGGTTCTATTTTCTCATCCACAACATTGGTGAGGTTTGAAACAAAGCAGGGGCTGAAGATCTCTTAGGAAACACCCGCTTTTGGTGTTCGCTGGGTGATAAAAACACCCTGATCTGCTAAGCAGGATTAACTAGCTTCCAAATGACCTCTTCCTGGTTGTTCTTCGTGGGAGATCTGTTATCAGTTGCCCATCCTGGTGCAAGGTAATCAAGCTTCTCCAGATTAATCCTGCCTAGTGGGAATGTTAAAAAAAAATAAATGGAGAGCATACATAATCCATGGGCAAGGGGAGGGGGAATGATAGCAGCCCACATTGTGTTAAAAGGTCCTGTTGGAATCATCATCAAGAGCATCACTGAAATAGACTTTGCACAAGCACAGAAAAGGGAAAGGGGAATCACAGTATCAACAGGTAGCATCTGGAAACAGAAACAAAGAACAGAATACTAGCCTGTGTGGTTATTAGCAACTGTAACACTAGAAGACTATTATTCACTATAGATTGCTCTTGGAACAAGCAATATGTCTCCCCTTCCCTGCCCCTCCAACAGCATTATCTCAGCTGGTAGGCAAAAAGCCAAAGCTATCATTTCTTCTGCATTTATTAGCTTTCTGTGGAGTGCAGACAGATATATATTTGCAGGACTGAAACAGAGAGCAGCCCCTAATTCAAAGGCATTTATACTCTATATTCACTGCAGAGTGATTCACAGGCATTCCCCCTTGACGGCTGCAAGTTCATGTGACAATTTGTGTATATTTTGTCTATTTACGTAATGCAGTTTACATACTTGGCTTCCCTGTACAAAAACATATTTTATTTTACGAACTCAGGCTTTTACATCTTAAGATCTTTTAGTGCTTTGTAAGGAAGTTCTCCTAGCTTGAGACACCTTTCCTCCTGTCCTGACTGATGGTTGATTTATGCCATTTAGGAAGAGCAGGTGGAAGAGAAGTTCCCTTGTGCAAACAGAAATCCATGTACCAGTAGAAGCAATTCACTGGATACCACCCCAGGTGTCCAAATAGGTATCAAATTGAGTTTGGTGATTATAAGACATGTATTCAAATGTACAAAGGGTGGTGAGATGTTTAGTACATTTCCAAGCACAATTCAAAGTGTTGGTGCTGACCTTTAAAGCCCTAAACGGCCTCAGCTCTGAAGGAGCATCTCCACCTTCATCGTTTAACCCGGACACTGAGGTCCAGCTCCCAGGGCCTTCTGGTGGTTCCCTCACTGCGAGAAGTGAGGTTACAGGGAACCAGGCAGAGGGCCTTCTCAGTAGTGGCAACCCTGTTTAGGGAAGTTTTTAATGTTTGATGTTTTAGCGTATTTTATATATTCTGTTGGCTAGCCACCCAGAGTGGCTGGGGAGGCCGGGTCAGATGGGCCAGGGTATAAGTAATAAATTATTATTACAGTGGTAAGGTAAAGGTAAAGGTACCCCTGCCCGTACGGGCCAGTCGTGTCCGACTCTAGGGTTGTGCGCCCATCTCACTTAAGAGGCCGGGGGCCAGCGCTGTCCGGAGACACTTCCGGGTCACGTGGCCAGCGTGACGAAGCTGCTCTGGCAAGCCAGCACCAGCGCAGCACACGGAAACGCCATTTACCTTCCCACTATAAAGCGGTACCTATTTATCTACTTGCACTTAGGGGTGCTTTCGGACTGCTAGGTGGGCAGGAGCTGAGACCGAAAGACGGGAGCTCACCCCGCCGCGGGGATTCGAACCGGCGACCATACGATCGGCAAGTCCTAGGCACTGAGGTGGTACCTCGGGTTAAATACTTAATTTGTTCCGGAGGTCCATTCTTAACCTGAAACTGTTCTTAACCTGAAACACCACTTTAGCTAATGGGGCCTCCCGCTGCTACCGCGCTGCTGGAGCACGATTTCTGTTCTCATCCTGAAGCAAAGTTCTTAACCCGAGGTACTATTTCTAGGTTAGCAGGGTCTGTAACCTGAAGCGTATGTAACCTGAAGCGTATGTAACCCGAGGTACCACTGTATTATTATTATTATTATTATTATTATTATTATTACTGAGTAGTGGGTGGTGGAGGAAAGGTCCTGATTTGGCCAGCCCTGGTTGAAAGATCCCGATTTCACCACCTTTGTGGTTTGGGGGAGGCTTTGAACCTAAGCTTTCTTGGCCTACCTTATAAAGGGAAGAGGTGTACCTAGGTTCCCTTGTGCAGTTGGCAAGGAGATGTATTGGTGCCTCTGATGCTGGGATAGACCATGGACAAGAAGCTCAGAAAGTTTGCTTCTCATTGCCTTTCATGTTCTGCCAGTGATTTCCTCCATGGCCATCAGCTCTGCTCTATCTCCCCTCCTCCTCTTCAAGTCCATCCATCTGCCTTCCTTTCTGCCCCCTCCCTCTGTTTGCCACCTTTCCTTCTCCTCCTCCCTCTCTCCCTTTATACTCCTCCTGCAACTCTCAATGTTGCAATGGTCCACACCAGTGGCCAGATTCCTCCACTGAGGCTTGCAGGCCAGAGCTTGGGGAACGTCCTAGGAAATGCACAGAGAATTGGGCGGGTGGGCTCTTAGTCACTCCAAATCAGAGTGGAGAGGGGTGATTTTTGCATGCACACATACAACGTCCTGTGCCCTCAGCAGACGCCAATCTAACCAACCTCTAGGTATACCCCTGATCAAGGGCCCTTGTAGGCTATGCCATACTGGCTGTACATTTGTGCAAAGTGTATACATTTGTACGGTTATGTAGTTGCAGGATAGTTAAACCAGGTTTTTTTTCTAGCTGGAACTCCCCGAAACTCAGTTTGGGCACCTCTCAGATGGGCACTGTTGCCATTATAAGAGAACAAGGGAGGCATTTGTGGTGAGTTCCTGCACCTCTTTTCCAAGAAATATAGCACTGAGTTAAACAATGGAACTCGTTTCCTCAGGAGAAGTGATGGCCACCAACTTGGATGGCTTTAAAATAGGATGGGACAAATTCATGGAGGTGAAGGCTATCAATGGCTGCTGTGCTCTGCCTCCCTATTCTGAGGCAATAATGCTTCAGAATACCATCTACTAGAAGCCACAGTAGGGGGGAAAGGGCTCTTGCGCTTGGGTCCCGCTTGTTGGTTTACCACTATGAGGCATTTCTCATGTTCTTCCTATAACATGAAAGGTTGAGTTAACTGGCTTCCATTGCTGCTAAAACTATTGTCCTCCCAACCTTACTGTATGCTTGTGAAACTTATAAACGTCATCTCCAACTCCTCAAAAGATTCCATCAACAGTGTCTCCGGAAATTTTTACACATCCGTTGGGAAGGCAGGTGAACAAATGGAAGAAGCAAAGTTCACCAGTGTCGAAGCGATGATTCTTCAACATCAACTTTGTTTGACTGGTCATGTTGTGTGGATACCTGATTGTCGTCTTCCAAAGCAACTACTCTATTCCGAACTGAAAAATGGAAAGTGTAATGCTGGTGGTCAATAAAATAGGTTCAAAGACTCTCTCAAGGCAAATCTTAAAACATGTAGTATAAACACCGACAACTGGGAAACACTGGCCTGCAAGTGCTCCAATTGGAGAACAGCCTTTACCAAAGGCGTCATTGGTTTTGAAGATGCTCAAACTCAAGACAAAAGGGAGCAACACGCTAAGAGGAAGGCATGCTTTGCAAACCCTCACCATGATCAACTCCCACCTGGAAACCTATGTCCCCACTGTGGAAGGACGTGTAGGTCCAGAATTGGCCTCCACAGTCACTCCCTGTTAAAACTGCATTTATGGAAGACAATCTTACTCAGCTACGAGTGATTGCCAAAGAAGAAGATTGCTGCTAAAACAGTCCTTCATACAAGCCCTTAGCCGATGATGATGATGATGATGATGATGATGATAATGCTAGTTACGGGTAGGTAGTCGTGTTGGTCTGCTGTAGTCGAAACAAAATAAAAAAAATTCCTTCCAGTAGCACCTTAGAGACCAACTAAGTTTGTTATTGGTATGAGCTTTCGTGTGCATGCACACTTCTTCAGATACCGAAGATCTGAAGAAGTGTGCATGCCCACAAAAGCTCACAACAACAATAATAATGCTATTATTTATACCCCACCCACCTGGCTTGGTTTCCCCAGCCACTCAGGGAGGTTTCAAGCACATATAAAAACATAATAGAACGTCAAACATTAAAAACTTCCTGATACAGGGCTGCCTTCAGATGTTTTCCAGGGCAGCAGGACAAAGGCGCCTTTCACCCACATTGTGCATTACAGGTTCACTGCCTGCTTTACCTTCAGTAATCTTCCCGGATACTGCACGGCCGCTATTGAATTTCAGTTGACTTTCTGGAAGAGAACATTTTATTACCTTCCCAGTAACTGCTGGTTTCATTACTTTCCTAGTAGCTGATGACCTCATTCATCCACTGCTTCCACAGCCACCTCCACACTATTAAATGTCTCAGTTTACCTTGGAGGTACTCTTGCACTCTGGGTTCTAAGTGGAAAGGTGCTGGTTTTTGCTTTGTTTTTGTTTCTTTTTAATTACACGTATTTAAAATGGAAAGTGAGTCAGATTTGGTGCCCTTAGAAATAAAGACAAAAACTAAACACTCAGTATGAGTATGACAATTACAGTGGTACCTTGGTTCTCAAACGCCTTGATACTCAGATGCTTTGGTTCTCAAATGCTGAAAACCTGGAAGTGAGAGTTCCGGTTTTCAAACATTTTTCAGAAGCTGAACGTCCAATGCAGTTGTCGGCTATTGTTTCTGGGGCACCTGCACCAATCAGAAGCTGCACCTTGGTTTTCGAACATTTTGGAAGTCACATGGACTTCCAGAATGGATTTTACGTGGCACTTTTGTTTTTATTATTTATTTTGAGCTTTTGTTTTTGAGGCTTTTTCAGTTAATTTGTTTTTGTGACTGTGTGGAACCCAGTTCAGCTACTGAAGGATTGAATGTGTGACTGTGGAGATGGATAAGAGCCCCCCATCCAAACAATGACTATCATCTGTGCAGGTAAGAAAAAATAATAATTTTAATTTTTATCATCTACAATACTGTCTTATTTATTTTATAGTACAGTACATTGATTACTGCTTTCATTTTATGGATCAATGGTCTTGTAGGATAGTAAAATTGATGTTAAATTGCTGTTTTAGGGGTTGTTTTCAAAAGTCTGGAAAGGATTGATCCGTTTTGCATTACTTTCTATGGGAAAGCACGCCTTGGTTTTGGAACGCTTTGGTTTTGGAATGGACTAAGTTTAAGAACCAAGGAACCACTGTGTAACAATAATGGCAACAACAGCAATGTGCTTAATTGATTTATTTGCCTCTTGATACAAAACGCTTCTAAGCCATTTACATTCACTTGCAGACACCCAACTACACTGAATGTTGGAAGACTCAGGACAGATAAAAGATACAGTGGTACCTCGGGTTAAGTACTTAATTCATTCTGGAGGTCCGTACTTAACCTGAAACTGTTCTTAACCTGAAGCACCACTTTAGCTAATAGGGCCTCCTGCTGCTGCCACGCTGCCGTAGCACGATTTCTGTTCTTATCCTGAAGCAAAGTTCTTAACCTGAAGCACTATTTCTGGGTTAGCGGAGTCTGTAACCTGAAGCGTATGTAACCTGAGGTACCACTGTATAGTACTTTTTCATGCAGCGCATAAACTATGGAACTTGCTTCCTCATGAGGCAGTGATGGTTACCAACTTGGAAAGTTTTAAAAGAGGATTGGGGGAAAAATCATGGAGGAGAATGTTATTGATGGCTGCCAGTTGTGATGGCTGGGCTCTGCCTCCACAGCCAGAGGCAGTGATGCTTCTGAATACCAGCAGCTGGAAACTGCAGGAAGGAAGAGCGGTTTTGTGCTCAGATCCTGCTCGCAGGCTTCTCACAAGCATCTGGTAGGCTGCTGGACTAGATGGGCCATTGGCCTGATCCAGCAGGCTTTTCTTATGCTCTTATGTCTGTGCAACTCATCATTTATTGAAGCCACTAAGCTGTCTGTATGCTTTTTGTTGATTTCCCCCTTACCTGCCTGTCCTCACATACCTTCTCCTTTTCTTGCCCTGCTCTGCTCTGCTCTGCTCTGCCTTGCTGTAACTGGCCGTCCTCTCTGTCCCCTACCCTCACCTTACAGTGTGCTACCTCCTTTTTGGACTTCTAAAATGCGGGGCATTTTAATGGAAGGCTGCATTCTCTCAGGGGCAGTCCGCTGGGGAACCTAGCTGGCGGTTGGCAGGGACAGCTTCAAAAATGGATGGGATTAGAGTCAAAAGTGAGCAGGGCACACACATAGCCTCTCCTCTACAGCTACCTGCTGCTACCTTCCCCCTTTCTTTCCAGCTGCATGAAACAAGGCTTCTTCTTCTTCTTCTTCTTCTTCTCCTTCTTCTTCTTCTTCTATCACTCATAGGTAAGTAAGATTGTCATCCATAAACATGGTTTTAACAATGAGTCCGTAAGTGACTATTGAGCCTATTCTGGATCCACACGTCCTTCCACGGTGGGGACATTGGTTTCCAGGCGGGAGCTGATCATGGTGTGGATTTGCCAAGCGTGCCTTCCTCTTAGCATGTTTCTCCCTTGCATCCTGAGTTTGAGTGTCTTCAAAGCCCCCTGTACTGGGGCCTCCAACTGCCTCTTCCGCCCCAATAAGACAAAGCCCCCTTTCATCACCAAAAGTCTCAAACACAGAAGTCCTGACACATATCAAGGAGGGGAGGTGGTGAGAATATAAGGGGATAAGACTTCCGTTAAAGTCTTGGACCCCTGAGGACATCTTGCCTTTTAAAAGGCATTTAATCTTTATAAATCATGCTCTCTTGACCATCCAATTGCTTTTGCTTCTTGGCCAGATTCCTACCATAGGTGGCCAAGTTGATGCAAGGGGAAAGTATTGGGTAAGACTAAAGAGGCTCTCGAGATGGATCGCTACCAACAGAAAGGAAAGGTTAGGATCCATGAGAGGCCTGGGCTTTGAAAAACCCACTGAGTCCTTTCTTGTATCTGTAGGAATGAGTTTAAAGAAAGGGTGAGATGGCATTGGGAGTGACCATCTGCAACTGACCAAGTCATTGCAGGACTCCCCCTCCTCGCAAGTTTTTATTTTTATTTTTTAAATATTTTTTTGGTCTCTTGAAGCCTGTGAAGGAAAGGCTGGATGCTTTCCTAATGCACATGCTGTAGTTTAGCCAGGACATCTGGGGCCGATGCAGAAACTGCTGGGTGAGATGGACTGTGTTCCTAGGTAGTAAATAAGCCGAGATAGATGTGAGGGCCCCATCTGGCCTTCATCTGTTGCTCTCTCCAAAGCCCCAGGAGCCTTTGTGCCTCTGAGGCATCCCTGCCTGACCCCCTTATTATGATTTGTGATGAGAAGGAAGAAATTGGCTTCTCATGCATCCAGCCTTCGAGATAATTTTAAAAAAATAAATGATTGGGAGAACTAATGTTCTGAAGCAAAATGGAACACAGCAAGATGGAGGGCTGGTTGGGGGGGGGAGCTCACATCCCAATAGCAATTTGGATCAGCCGGGTTGTGGTTTACCATTGAACTACTGTGAAAATTAGATGTGGGCTGAATTCAAGTCAGTTCACAATCAAACTGACCAAAATTCACACTTGTCCAGATTTTGCAATGCCATTGTGCAGCCAAGAAATGTGTGGGGAAATGCACACACTAGGCTAAAGCTTGCATAGGAATGCACGTATTGGTGAAAATAGCCTGCAAAATACATCTGGGGAAACTGCTTTGCAAAAATGTGTATGTTAGGGGCAAATGCACAGAAAAATGAGAACACTGGGGCTAAATTGCTGGTGGAGTTTCTTGGGGAGTTTAAGAAAAAAACCGCAAACTGTTGTGCAATGTGGAGAACTGGACTGACTATGGGAAAAATGAGAAATGGAGAAAAACCAAAAGTGACACAGTCACCCACTCCTCATTACTAGTAAGCACCATTTCACATGTCAGTCATTCAAGAGGTTGCATATAATGGGCTAAATCCAAAGGAATTTGAACACATGGAAATCACATTGTAACTGACGGCACTTCACTACTCAGTCAAAGGGCTTATTGCCTGCCTAACTTTCTGTATTATGTATCATATTTATTAGAGCTATTCTGAAAAGAATTCACTGGACTGTTGGCTTTTTGCAAACCTTTTCAGTTTCTCCCCTTTTTGGTGTTTTCTTGACCTTCATGTTCTCTTGCCCTCAGTGACATCACATACTAGAATCTGATTGGCTACATTCCATTGCTATGTCATCCCATTCGCCATGTGATTCCTCTCAGCATGGGAGAGTTATCTGATGGCAGAGAAAGGACCAGTACTCTCCCTTCTCCCTTCCTCTGTTCATCAACTTTGACAGGCCTTTTATTAATAGAGCTAATAACACTGCGACAATGCACGGGTACAAATCTGCAATGCTCATTCCATCAGTTCCACAGTACGCCCTGCTGAGTTCAGTGATTTCAATAACTTTTTCAGCCACCTTCTTTGCCCTTCTGCACTGACATCATAAAATGCTCTTTGCATGTGTGAGGCATTATTATAGTCAGACCAACAATTAATGTTTTGCCAGATAGGCACATGAAGGAGCAGAAGCTCACAGAGCTATCCTGACAAAATTCCTAGAGAGAACTCTGTGAGATCGCTTTCTTTGTCTACCTCAGCAGGAAACTGTAACATGACATCCTTCCTTCCTTCTGGCTTATGCATTTCTGTATATATTACTTGGCTGGAGAACTGCATGGCAAAACGGGGATAATTTTGAATTTAAAAGGGTAGATGTGTTTCAGTTCTCATATCATTTTAGACAGTGTGAATTAGGCAGGTTCACTTTTAAATGCAAACCTTGTTGAATTTCTCTGCCATCCCTGCAGGACAATTTTGCATGGGTAGAGATGAATGAATAATAAAGTAAGATTAATTTTTTATTCATAAATATGTATTCTCCCATGCAAATATTTATACCTCCAGAAAAATAGTGTGGTGTATTAAGCTGGAGTACTTACTTTAAAACTCTCTTACATGATTTGATGCACCTAATTTAGTTAATTCCACATCAGATAGATGATAGAT